CCTAAAAACTACAGACGACTCAGTACTTTGTAAAAAGTCGTCCCCTTGTGGGGTGCCGTTTTTCGTTATCTCCAGCCCCACTCTGGCTTTTGCCGGGGGCCCTGATTATAGCTGGGCCACAAGTGTGGTCACAACGGCTGAAAGGGGTTTCTGGGACCTCTCCACGCTTTATCCTCATCCACATGGTGGTACATTGTGTCATCGGGCGTTTATCACTTGTGTGATGTTCTGGTGGGGTACAAGGAAGCAAGCAAAACGACGTCAGATAAAAAAAAAAAAACATTAATAAATTGGCTAAATCATAACGGATTGATGCATGCAATTTGAACAGTTTCACTCAAAGCATTACAAAGATTCTGAATGTCAAAATTAAGACAAATGTATATTCCTTTCAGCAGATATGTGTTTCTTTATGTGAGTAGTAAAGCGTCTTTGGGTAACTAGGTTTTTTTTGTGTGTGGGTGTGTTTATATATATATATATTTTTTACTTTTACTATTTTGAGCGTGGTTGACCTAGGAGCCCAGCGTTTAGATATAGTTTAGGCTGAAACAGAAGATAGACTGATACATTTGGAGAACCACTGACTATGTCTAGCATAAGTTCATTCCCCTAAAATAAAAATAAAAATTTAAAAATGCATTAAAAAAAGGGGGAGGGTGAGGGGGTGTCGCTTGTAAAGAACGAAAAAACCCAATTGATTTAGATAGCTTGAAAGATGCACTTCGCACAATCAGACAGCATGAAATCCCATATAATCTGAGCACTTATTCCAGGTGCTCCACTGAAAGCACGAAGCGGGGACATGGCGTAGACGGTAGGAGATAAGTGGACGTGGCTAGCGAAAATAAGAAAGATAAGAAGACGCGTGTTTTAGTGTGAAATTGTCTAATCAAGATGTCTGCCATTCTCTGTCAAGGGCGTAAAAGTAAATAAATCGGGGGGGGGGGGGTGGCATTCATAGGGTAAGGGTGCTGAAGTCTTGTTTAGATGCGTAGTAGTTTTGTTTCCACCGGAGGAAGGAGAATATGGACAGAAATCATGCATAAACACATCCAAGAAATCCAGGACCGTGCTCCCAGCCAGAAGGAAAGAGCCAGGTCTGTCAAAATGAAAAAGAACAAGAGCAATGCCAGCTCAGCGAGCCATGTCGAAGATAATTACACACAGTAGTGACCCAGGACAGAGAAAAGGTGAAACAGTGGTCGTAGATACATGTACCCCTCGGTGACCCCAGACAGAGAGAAAGTGAAACAGTAACATCAGATATCTGTACACACTGGTGATCCGGGTCAGGGAGGAGGTGAAATAGTGGCAGCAGATCACCTGTACATCCTAGTGACATAGGACAGAGGGAAGGTGAAACAGTGGAAACAGATACTTAGGTTGTTTTTACGATCATCTCCCCATTTGCACACCACCAGTTGAAGGTCAACTCCATTGATAAGTTGGATGGACTAGTCTACCGCGGTCGAGGTTATGGGTGTGGCAGTCTGTTGTTGTTTGATATTTACGTTTTTATTTCCGAGAAAGAGACGGCCTGTGACATAGGTTTTGTCACTCTCAAGGAAGAGGGAGTGTGTGTTAAACCCAGTCTTTAAATGTTTTAGAAGTGCTAAAAGCTCTGACATGGTGAAATATACAACATGCGGGATGAGCGCGAGTGCAGAATATCACCGTGACCTTGTGTGAAAGTCGGATCACTCGATGCTGACCTATCAAAAGTGAGGTGGTCAGTAGGTCGTCCAATCAGAAGCGAGCTAGTGTGTACATTTGTGCAAATGGGGAGACCGGCGTAAAATTTACAGATATTTGAACGTTCTAGTGACCCAGGACAGACAGAAAGTAAAACAGTGGCATCAGATACCTGTAGATGCTGGTGATCAAGAACAGGCTGGCGGTAAAACAATGACAGCAGACATCCATACCCAATGCTGATCCAGGACAGAGAAAAGGTGAAACAGTGGCAGAAGATACCTGTACACATTGGTGACCTAGGGCAGAGAGAATGTGAAACAGTGACAGCAGATAATTGTGCACACTGGTGACCCAGGACAGAGAGAAGGCAGATAATCTGAGACAGTCTTTGCCACCAGATCTGGCAGTGATCGACTAACTTAAGCGAAACTAATAAACGAATAAATAGTGAAAAAGATAGCAGTAACAACAATAATAACAATCATAATTATAATAGTAGTAGTATTATTAATAATAATAGTAATAACAATAATGAATATATCTGCGAACGATACAAATATAATTTAATTAAAATAATATTAAATACTACGTAAAAAAAATTTTTTTTTGTGTGTATGGCTATGGAAGAGGATAGGGTTCCAAGCTCCCTATGCAAGTTTCTAGGGTGGGGTTAGGGCTTAGTTTCGCTCCTCTCCCTAAAATTTAATTTTGTGAGGACTGGGAGCTCAGGGTCCCCGAATTCTGGCGCCTCTGAATATCAGAGCTTGTCTGTGACAGCAAGCTGTGCTTAGGCTCGGAGTTTAGACATACACGCAAATGTTGTCTTTACCAACTCACTGCGAACAGCAGTTTTCACAATATGACACTATTGAAAGGTTTCAACAACGGTTTAACATCATGTCACACAGGTAGTAACCCATAAGTGCTCCGGTATTCTTCTAACTCAAGTGTGAATCTAAAAAAGCGCAGCACAGTGCCCTGGCTCTGTAGCACCGGCGAGGAACCATAATACATTGGGTAGACTTTTTAACTCCAAATTTTGCCCGGGCAGCGCCGTTAAGCTACTCTTTTCGATGTCCAACTGCTAAGGGATTTTTTACATGCGCATCACTACCCGGAGACTAGGGGAAATTACTAGAAGTCCTAGTCCATGTGAAAAATTCCCAGCCCTTACCGGGGGATGGAAACCGGAATCTCTAGCACTCGAGGGAATACCATGCCCCGAGACCACGCAGTCCCCTCAAAATATGACACACAGCTAGCTACAACCGAATCTGTGGGTCCCATTTCACGGCATCGGGGCCTTGGACAAATGCCGCTAGACCTCTGTGTTTTTGGTTTTAAATATAAGTCAGCATTCGATAAAATGTATTGGTCAATCATGCCGAGTGTCTTGATTTGCCATGACATCTCTTCTTCTTCTTCTTCTTCTTCTTCTTCTTCTTCTTCTTCTTCTTCTTCTTCTTCTTCTTCTTCTTCTTCTTCTTTCTTTTTCTTCTTTTTTTTCTTCTTCTTCTTCTTCTTCTTCTTCTTCTTCTTCTTCTTCTTCTTCTTCTTCTTCTTCTTCTTCTTCTTCTTCTTCTTCTTCTTCTTCTTCTTCTTCTTCTTCTTCTTTTTCTTCTTCTTATTCTTCTTCTTCTTTTTCTTCTTTTTTTTCTTCTTCTTCTTCTTCTTCTTCTTCTTCTTCTTCTTCTTCTTCTTCTTCTTCTTCTTCTTCTTCTTCTTCTTCTTCTTCTTCTTCTTCTTCTTCTTCTTCTTCTTCTTCCTCTTATTTTTCTTCTATTTCTTCTTCTTCTTCTACTTCTTCTTCTTCCTCCTCCTCCTCTTCTTCTTCTTCTTCTTCTTCTTCTTCTTCTTCTTCTTCTTCTTCTTCTTCTTCTTCTTCTTCTTCTTCTTCTTCTTCTTCTTCTTCTTCTTCTTCTTTTTCTTCTTCTTCTTCTTCTTCTGGTTGTTTGTCCACTTCGGAACTTTAGTGTTATTCCAGAGCCTGAGTTTTGTCTGCATATCGTTTTGACAGACTGTTGTACCTCCAGTTTAAATTACAGTTTCGTTTAAGAAAAAAAAAAAAAAAAAAAAGAATTAACCACGTTCAACCTGCTGCTAGCTAGCCGAGGCTGCCAACAGTGTCCGGCTATATTTGTGGTCTTTTTTTTTTTGGCGCCACTTTCGTGGCTAAAGTTTTGGTTTTTGCTCGTCTCTGGACTTAATGCTTCTTTCCTCCATGTCAGACCGCAATTATTTATAGTTTCAAAATTTCGAGTATTTTACTTAGCCGAAATGGACTGAAAACAATATTTGCGTTTGGATAGACCCGAAATGTGAAAATGTTCCGCGTATGATCATAGTGGTCTTATAGATGTCTTTACGAACGACCTTACATTAGGGTATCCACTGCAACCGCCCGACCATCCTCTCTCCGCCATCTTGAATAAGTGTTACGGGTGCTAGCAAGTGTTCTGATTGGTCGGTCCGAGGCACGGCCCTCCAGCGTGCCTTTATTGCACATAAATGTGCGTCTAGGCTTCTCTCGTCCCTGATATTATTTTGGATATTGTAATAATTTAGTTTCTTCTTCATCCAGTTTTTTTTTTTTTTTTAATTGTAATTTATTTTAAGTAGATACTGTTTAAGAAGTTTTTGTATTGTAGCCTCTGGTTCATTACATGTAGAGGCACTGGGACTTCGAAGGAAACTCCCCTAATTTGTCAAATCCCATGTCATGCTAATGAAGGTACAGTGGCTTCATTTGCCCTCACAATGGGATTTCGGGAAAGTCGACGTGGATTGGGACTCACGATCTTTTGAGGAACAGGATATCAACTAGAATGGCTCAGCTTTCAAAATATTATGCTAACTAGTGTATATCTCCTTATATATGTATGTATATACAGTTAGCATAATATTTTGAAAGCTAGGCCATTCTAGTTGAAAAAACTATACGTATATATATATATATATATATATATATATATATATATATATGTGTGTGTGTGTGTGTGTATGTGTGTGTGTATGTGTGTGTGTATGTGTGTGTGTGTATGTGTGTGTGTGTGTGTGTGTGTTCATACATATTGCACTGGATACAACGGAATGGAAGAATAAACTGAGCGCTCTAAGGGACTTATAACACCCAACATACACACTGATCACGCCATGCATTTAACAGGCAACACATTCTACAGTGGTCATTTATATAAGAGCTGAGATGCAGTGCAGGTTGTAAAGGAATTATTAATGATCTTCATTTACATAAAATTGAGATGCTCCGCTAACGTATTTTTCACGTTTCTCTTCTTTTTCAGTTACAGAATCAGAGATAAAACAGTGGTAAGTGTCTTTCATTATCATTGTGTTGTAAAAAACAAAAGGAAAAAAAAAATAAAAAGATTATAGGTCCCCTTTCCACACCTTAAGGCGTATAGGGCATATAGGGCTAGACCACGACCGGCTCCAGCTGACGGTCCGTGCTGATGACGTCATCCGGTCAGGCTAACGATGCGTTAAAGCAGCGGCTCTCAAACTGGGTGCGAAGACACCCTGGGGTGTCGTGAGCATATGCCAGGGGTGCTGCAGCAAAATTCAAGAAAAGTGCGTCAAAAATTGTGAAATTATTAAAGAAGGCAAGTAGATATTTAAAACTTGAAATTTAAGCTGTCTTTCCTGGCTACTGTCAAAATAGTTTAAATTTTGTTTGAAAACCGCTGCGTTAACGCATCGTTAGCCCAACCCGATGACGTCAGCAGCACGGCCCGTCAGCAGGAGCCGGTCGTGGCTAGCCCTACATTTTTATAGACCTATTGGCACAAGATAAGTGATGTGGTCAGCATCACGCCGGCAGCCTTTACTTCCCGGGACTGCACCCGGTACCCACTCAAGGCTAAGTCGACCTGGGAGTCAAGGTCATTTTTGTTTTTTTGTGCTGGGGGGAAAAAATGGGTAGCATTTCATTCACAGCCGAATTCTTGAGTCCATAATTCGATGCCTGTTCGTGGAAATATCCCGATGATCCACTAAAACTCGAGATGCAGGTTCTGCATCGTTTTACAGATCTGGCTTATTTTTATGCAGATTGTTGGTTGGTTTCTTACCTCTCAGGCAGATGCACTCCGACCTCGAAGAAACCTCTCAGTTAGTCAATTCTTACGATATACTTGGGACGCACTGGATCTATTCTTGTGTTCCCGCCAGTGGGTTACCGGAACCCATAGGACAGGAGATGCAGGTTCAACCTGTATTATAGTTTTGGGATGAGCCCTGTAGCCAGCACTCATCTACTGCCGGCAGTTTTTACATCCTTAACTATTGCCAGAAAAACTGCTAATTATAACACTTTTGCGGTGTAGCAGGGGAGTCATTGAGCCTGAGAATTTACGGTCGCATGGCTAGTGCTGTTGCCACGACTGCGCAAGTGAGGATTTTATTTACTTTTGCCAGAGCAGTGATGAATTACTGCCTGTTTCACCTTGTGGAAAGGAATACTAATTTAACCATTACACCAAGCTCGGTATCTGTTCTGTAACAGGAGACGGCAACTTGTGAGTCAGTCTGCCCTGACTTCTTCTTCCGTGACAAACATTGAAGATAAGCCAAGCACTCAAACATTTCTTTCAGTATTGATTTTCTAGAAGTTAGTTTGCCTTAACTAGCTATAGCCCGGCGCAGCGGAAGAGCAGTGTGGAGATACAACATCAAAGAAACACAACCGTATCAAGTATCTTTGGTCCAGGTGGCCTCAAGAGCGAGGACCAGAAACTTGTACTTTTACACCTGAAGCAGTGAAACAGGAAGTTGAGAAGTAAAACAAATTATTCTATAGATTTATCAATGTCAAACACCAAGGAAACATTAAAGCTAATGAAGCAGTAAAAAACAAAAACAAAACACCAGTAAAGATCCTATTCATGCATTTAAGCGCATCGTGCATATGGGAAAAGCACCCATATTTTTACAGACCAATCGGCACTAGGTGGGTAATGTGGTCAGCATTACGCCGGCCGTCTCTACTTCCCCAGTACAGCCATTTGAGGCTGGGTCCACGCAGTCCGCAGTGAGTTTCGATCGCGATACGTTGGATTACGAGTCGGACTCGCTACGCCTTAGCCACGGACGCCGCGGCAAAGAAGCAGTATGATACATTAATTTCCAAGTACAATGCTGGTCGGAACTGGACGTCGCCGTGGTGAAGCCACTAGATTCACATCCGAACGGAGCCGACTTCTTTCAGCAACAACAACAACAACTAAAATAGACTTCGACATCCCGGTCGATCCAGACTTTAAACGAGTATCAGGACCAGTCATGGGAAGTAAATGCGGTCGGTGTGGTGCTGACTATATTACCCACCAAGTGCTGGTTGGTCTGTACAATACTGGTCTAACACGATATGATCACTACGGATCAATGCTAGGAAATGAGGCCCTTTTCCTTGTGGCGAAGGGGCTGCGTGGTCTCGAGGCATATTGACCGCCTCGACTGCTAGAGGTTCCGGGTTCAATACCCGGTGAGAGCTGTGATTTTTTTTTTTTCAAGTGGACTTGGACTTCTAGTAATTCTTCATTTTTGCGCACATAAACAATCCCTTGGCAGTTGGGAATCTTTAAAAGTAGCCTAACGGCGCTGCCCGGGCAAAATGTGGAGTTAAAAATCTATGCAAAGTATTTCAGGATCCTCGCCGGTGCTAAAGAGCCTGTGCAATGTGCTGAGCTTCTTGAGGGCATATACACCATTCTGGCATAAAATACCCAGGTAGCAGACAAAATAATAGGGGCCACCGAAGTAAACAGGATGGATATTGTACTAAATAAATCAACGACTGTAGTAGTGCAGCGATTGTTGTAATGTGTCCATTGTAGTAGCGAATAGATTGTAGTAATTTGGCGACTGTAGTAGAGTGGAGATTGTAGTAATGTGGCGACTGTAGTTGTGTAGAGATTGTAGTAATGTGGCCACTGTAATAGTGTTAAGACTGTAGTTGTGTGGAGATTGTAATAATGTAACGAATGTAGTAGTGTGGAGATTGTAGTAATGTGGCGACTTAAGTAGCGCAGAGATTGTAGTCGTGCATGGTTTACTTTTTAAAAATAAAATTAAAGAGCTTTTTTCATGTAGTAGGCTGACCAGAAATATGGTGCCAAACACCGTTTTTAACATAAATGGGCACTCGGTGGATGCAATGGCCAACGTAACACAGGCCGTTTTTACTTCCCGATACAATTTCTGGCACCTGTTTATGCGACGTCGACCTTGAAAGCAAGTGCATTTTGATATTTTGAAAAGTTTGTGTCACTTATTGTAAAATTGCCAACTGAATGCTTTGAGTCTGTGTCAGTGTTTTCATTTACCGCAAAAACGGCGAAACAAAAACTAGATGTTTGTTTACATCATAATTAATTTTTAAAAGGATATGATTATTAACAGGTTACTTGCCACATTTAAACAATTTGCACCTAACAGTAACTGAGTTACAGTGTTTTTTTTAATTTATGCACAACTTTTGAAACTGACTCTACAAAAATGATCACCCCAGCATTGGTATTAAATGGGTTACAAAAGCTGGCACGCCAGGTAAAACGGTTAGTTCGACGTTAGACTCCCCATATCCCGCTCTTATACACACTTGGTTACTTCTGATTGGTAGTTCCTGAACCCCGTGACCTTCACACAACGTTTTCTGTCTGTTTCGCAATGCCGTTGATATCGCGTGTTGTCTATTTCAGCACGCCTTGGCTTTTAAAACTCCAAAAACATGGAAAAACTAGACCTAACGCAACTCCAGTAGAGAGTGATGCAACCTGTGTCACAGGCGCTCTCTTTATCGGAACGAAAACGTAAATGCAAGACATTGGGGAAACCAAACAACAGAGCGGGACACATCCGTAACTTTCAGGAAAGTCAAACACCCCAATAAACATGTTAAAGAAATGTGACCTACTCTATTTGGGGAGACTAACGTTGAACTAACCGGCCATAAAACTCTTGAAATCTGCTGCAGTATTATTTCTTCTTATCTAGAATTCATTTATTCAAACGTTATCTTTACCTCATGCAGTAATCAATCTTCATTAACTCTTGGCAGGCACAAAGGATTTAGGAAAGATTGCCCCGATGGGAAGTTAACCCTGGAGGTAAGACATGTTGATATTTTGTCTATGTTATATCTCAGAGCATGTAGTCGCCGTGGTAAAGCGGCTTGACTCTCGCCTGTGGATCGGAAGTTGGTGGGTTCGGGTCATGACGGAGGCGAGCTTTGGTCGGAAGTCTGAGTCCGAAGAAGCTCAACACAGCGCACAGGCTCCCTAACACCGGCGAGGATTCTGAAATACTTTGGCTAGATTTTTAACTCAAAATTGTGCACGTCCAAGTGAAAAATCCCATCTTATACCGGAGATTGAACCCGGAACCTCTAGGTAGCACTTGAGGCGGATACCATGTCTCAAGACCACGCCGTCCCCTGTCTCGAATTACTAACAAGCGTAAATATTTACTTAGTTTCTGTTGTGTGCAATCCGAAGATCCACACTACCGACAACCGATAATGAACATTAGTTAACTAATGAAAGAATCCTAAGTATAATAACAAGTAACTAAACTTGGAAATTGTCACTGACCGCTTAGTTAAGGCATGAAAGCTTCATTAGCTTTCAACAAAACCAATAGTTCAATGTTGTCAGTGTATGCAGAAGCCAGTGTAAGGTAGCCATTATTCGTATTCAGCCCGACCGCAACTATTCAGCCGAAAACCGAATAGTCAATAGGTCCACTATTCGGCCCCGAAGCGAATACGAAGCGAATATTCCGCACAGCACTAGTTTTTTCATGTGGACTTCTAGTAATTCTCTCTGGTCTCTGAATAGTGAGATCAGACGCCCGTGTGTATTGTCGACATAAAAAAATCCTTTGGCAGTTGGAAATCGAAACGAGTTGCCTAACGGCGCTGCCCGTGAAAAAATCTGGAGTTAAAAAATCTACCCAAATTGTTTGAGGATCCTCGCCGGTGTTACAGAGCCTGTGCACGGTGCTGGGCTTTCTAGGACTCAGACTTGAGTTAGAAGAAGAAACGAACAGTTATGTTTTACACCCGTGTGCCATGATGTTGATCCGTTGTTCAAAATCTCAAAACTCAAATCTCTGCGTTTTCCTTATGACTTGGCGTTATCTTCCTACGTACAAATCTTCCTTCCCTTGCATTGTAACAGACTTTTTCCCCACTCTCCAACGGCTGTTGGTTGAAAATTGTGCCTGTAGGATATTCGAATCACTTGTTAATAATCTAACCAGAAACTGCTTTTCCGGATGTATGACTCTGGGGAATTGTTGTTAACTTCTACTGAATAGGCTGTTTAGCGGGCTCATGGTACTAGTAAAACAGTATTAGGAAAATAAATATAAGATAAATGATTGTACTAGAAATAGTCGAGATTCTCGAGTAATTTGTCAAAGAAATTGAGCATCATAACTCTACAGTACTGACATTTATCATGATAGTACAAATGTGAACACCTGTTTACAATCGATGTTTGTAGTGGACCACATTTCTCGGGGTTTTATACAACTTTCTGAATTTCTGTCCTTCAAGCTGCTCGTTAGGACCATCGGGTGAAGCACAAACTCCGTAGCTGCAACGACGATACCCAAGGATATCAGAACAATTGCACTGGTGAACCGAACTCGAAAATCAAACCCATGACTTTCATAACACGATGGAAACAGCCTGAAAACCTCTTCAGAGGCTTGACCACTAAACAGTGGACCTAAAGTTTATCCGCGTGGATCCTGGGGTCTTGCTGAGAGGGTGGGTGGGGTGGAGTTGCGGGGGATAATAGACCCACAACAAGCACGTCGTTAAATCGACTATATCAAGGGTTTGTAGAAATAGGCTGTGTAGGACCGAACGGCGCAGATCTCGCAGCCCAGCCGTAACCCACAATTCAGCCTGATAACCGCTAAAGCAAAAAGAAAAAGAATACGATGAAAGAAAGCAAAAAAATAAAGAAAAAAATGAAGAAAGAGAGAAACACAGACAGACAGACATAAGGAAATAAAAAAAGCAAGAAAGACAGAAAAAAAGAGAAAAAAAGGAATAAAGAAAGGAAGACAGGCAGACAGACAGACAGACAGACAGACAATCAGACAGACAGACAGACAGACAGACAGACAGACAGACAGACAGACAGACAGACAGACAGACAGACAGACAGACAGACAGACAGACAGACAGACCGACAGACCGAGAGACAGACAGACAGACAGACAGACAGACAGACAGACAGACAGACAGACAGACAGACAGACAGACAGACAGACAGACAGACAGACAGACAGACAGACAGACAGACAGACAGACAGACAGACAGACAGACAGACAGACAGACAGACAGACCGAGAGACAGACAGACAGACAGACAGACAGACAGACAGACAGACAGACAGACAGACAGACAGACAGACAGACAGACAGACAGAAAAAAAAAAGAAAGACAGAAAGAACGACGAGATACAAAAACAACCCACGGCTAACACACTCTATACAATTATATATGCCAATAGCAGGATATAATCTAGACTGTTTCAGGAGAAAATAATTATGACTGAACAAACAATTGCAGACAATTGCAATAAATGAATATTTGTAGATTAAATGTATTTATTGTCGTTTTCTTTGTTGGTGTTGTCGTTTCTTATTGTGATTGTTATCTGTATGGTTTTTACTTGTCCTTGTCGCCGGTGTCGGCTCTGTAGCTAAGTCGATGCGAACGCTTCGCTTCGTAATGCCCGGATGCCAGGTTCGATCCCAGCTGCGGGCAACGCGCCTTGCGTTGGTTTCGACAGTGGTATCAAGAAAGCCGACCGTCCAGTAGCAATGGCAAAACTACTGGATGTAAATTGCCTAGAGAAACCACACAACAGCCAGGGGCTGTTAGGGTTGGTTCTGCAACGTCCTGTAAACGCAACTAACTGTCGCTGGTAGTTGTCATTTTTATCGTTGTTTTTGTTTTCGCGTGCTGTCATCTTTTGCTATTGTTGTTAAATATGAGAGTATTCCTAGTTGTTCTTTCTTTGTTTCTGAGGAGTATTACTTTTTTGCTGACAATTAAAGGTTGGAGTGGGACTATTTGCTTCAAACCAGTCCTTATTTCTACGTTCTCTAATCCTATAGACTAATACAGCTGTTTTGTAAACAGACTTCTTAATTGCATCCCATTTGAGACTTTCCGTAGAGTTATCTTAGCTTTCAGTGGAAGCATCTTCGAACTGTTGTTCAAACTCCAAACACTTTTCAAGGGCATAGCTCTCAGGGTCGTTGAGAAACACAAGCAACCCCCCCCCCCCCCCCCCCCCCCCCCCCCCCCCCCCCCCCCCCCCCACGGCAAGGTGGAGACACTTTCGGGGGAGACATTGTCTGTTTAAAATGTTTATTTCTTTTAAAGGAACAGCTGTAGGACGTGATTTGTCAGCATAATAATTTTATGGATAGTTTTAGCAAGATATCGTCCCTGTAAGACGGGAATGGCGAAAGTACCGCGAGTGATCTAGCAAGTAAGACACACTAGAAAACAGAACATATATGAAAATCATGGTGTTTCAATTTCTTAAGACAAAGTTATCTTTTTTTTTAAAAAGAGACACCATATTGAAGTCTTCTTTTTCGTTGTCTTCGCTTTCACCTGTTCCATTTTCCCTCATTTGTAGACTAACAGAATTTAGTTTTGTCGCCCAGCTACTGAGTTAAGTCATGGCCAAACTTTAGTACACGCGTCGGTTAAGTGCATAGTGCTACACTGTTAGCGGGAGATTTCATTTGGAATGTTTTCCCACTGTGACTAACGCGGTGTTGTGAAGTTTAGATTCAGAAAATGGCCTGTGGCTTGTTGCCACATAATTAGTGGTGCCATATATGATTAAAACTGAACGTATGTGCAACTGCTGATGTTTGTTGCTGCTCCCTACGTCGATGATAAGCTACATTTCTAATGTTAGACTGTTTGTATTAGCAATTCTAATGGCTGCTTTATGCTTTTAATGCGTGTGTATGCTTGTGGATATGCTGAGACTGCAGTCTGTGTCAGTTTTCCACAAGGGACTGTGATGAACATTATGTGTGTTTTTCGCTGGCACGGGAGCGGAGCAACTGTGGGGTGACCCGTTAGCCATGAAGCTGAAACTAAGATTACAAGATTACGTATCTGGCGTATGCAGATTGTTTATCTCTGAGGCAGATGCATTCCAACTTTTATAGAAACATCCCAGATTAGTCGCGTCCTACAGCAGGTGTGTTGGCAGTGGATCTACCCCACCCCTCCCCCCCCCCCAGTGGGACCACAGAACCCACACGAGGATTTACTTTAACTAATAGCGCATGACTGAACACTCAAAAACTCTACCAGCTATGTGCTTGGTTTTTAGGCCTTAAACAAGCCAACTGTGTCCTAATTAATCTCAACGGCAGTGAATGGAAGCCAAATTAAATTCCCCACAGGCACACAAAGTTCAGCTGGCTGCATCATTAACGACCCTTCTCCACGTCTGGCCAAGACAACAAGGCCAGAACGGAACGGGGATTTACGCTTCACATCAGAACAATTTGCCGGATGAGGATCTTCACAGCATCAGTATCTTCCAGAAATAAATGAAACTGGATATTAATGCTATTTTAGTCTTTCTTTCTTCTTTTCTTCGAAATAATACTATCCAGAAATAAGGTGTTCTACGCACTACAGCCTATGTTACAGTAAAATGCTATATCTCCTTATCACCGCTTTTTTTTGGGGGATATGCAATGTAGGTCTCTGTTATCTAATATTCTGTCTTTATGCCACAAATATTGCAGTCACTTAGCTCTCAAGATGCCAGTAATCATTCAAAAATATATTCATCTTTGATAGATTTAAAAGATGTGTCTTAAGACTGTTCTCAAAAATGGGCAGTAAGACCTCATCTTTGTTAGCTGTACCTAAGTGTCAGTGCTAAAAAGGTTGTTAAAAAAATACAAAAAATCTTCTTGGTATCTTATACGTTATTATAGACCCATCGCACTCCATGACTAACACATCACTTCCTTTTGGGACTACTGAATGCTCTTCTTATGCATACTGAATGCTCCCGCACTACGTACGAGACATGTCCC